CTCCTCCCCTGCGAGGAAAGTACGATCCCCCCCATCTGTTTCACACAACGATGCTGTACCCTGATCAGTGAGTCAGAAAGGCATCCATAAACAAGACAATCTTTCCCTGCGAGATTCCAGAGACATCTCGTCTTTCGTTTGGCTGAGGCTTGGAGGTAGGAAAAGAAGACAAGAGAAAGAAGATGGAATGGAGAGGGTGCATCACTGGGAAGCTGAAGGCCTATGTTTGCTCAACCGTACACCTCCCCCCCCCTCATTACGAAAAGACATTGGTTCCGGCACCGAGCAACACTATTTAGTGATGGAGACGATAATGAATAGCACGTTCCCTTCATCTTTCCTCACCTTGATGGTTTGCACAAGCTGCCTTGCAACTTTGCTCGTTATCGAACCGATTTCTTGTTCCCTCACAACCACCATAATGGAATCGATTGCAGGTGCCATCGGCCTAAATATATTAAGTTGAAAAATAACTCAAAAGTTCCTGAAACCTTTCCCAACAGCAAAAACTGCTCACCTTGTTGTAGTACCACTTGGTAGCGAAATTAGTACATGGACCAGTTTCCTTAGCCTCATCACAAATGGAGGTAGCTCCAGACGAGCCAGCATCTTAAAATACGTTGCTTTGGAAAGACACTAAGGAAAACTGAGGGTGCGGTAACAGCTGGTTTGAGCCTGAAAAGCATTTTCGAAAAAAATTACCCGAGTGTGGTTCAGGTTGACGAACACAGACGTTTTCGCACTCCTCCCGAGAGGTGAATCGGTTCGCATTACCAGAACATCCCCCGGCAGCCTATCGCTCTTCGAACCCAGACCACCCATGACGGCCGCGTGCCCATTCCCCCCACACGCTACCAACTATCAAAGGCAACCTGAACACTTTTAGCCGACGTCAAGCGGCAAATGGCACGATTGTCGTGATTTCACTGAAAATTTTCAAAATATGGGACCTTCTGAAACGAAAAAAAAATAGAAGGATAAGAAGCTTTATCATGAAGTTTGTGGCGAGGTGTGAAGTGGCAAACGCAGCGCTAACCACCACTCGCGCGGTTCCGGTTTACGAATGGATACGGTCGGATCATCCAGGCCAATTCGATCCTCTAAGCTCTTCAAGCTTGAATTTACCGGATGTCAGAGAAAAGAAGCACTAACTGGACATCGCTGGCTCTTCGCAACCACGTATACGATCACCATGTCAAATAAGCACTGCGGATACTGGGCCATTAGTTCGCGTTTTAAAGTTATCACGATAATGCTCGAGTATGGCAAAAGTCTTCTGGTCCACAAGCGCGGCTCAAAGCCGGCACTCTGCGCTTTCGACGGGCAGTGCGCCCAACGGCAAATAGTCCGTCTAATTGTGAGTTCGGCCCCAAAATTTTCATGAATGTCGAGGAGCGAAAATCATCAGCGGTTTCCAAGAGGTGAAGGACTGATGAAAATGAATAATCAGATGGGCCATTTCGCCCTGCCCTCTTTGCATGGGTAACCCGATACTGTACCTCTAGAAATGGACTGTAAGAAATACCTGCGTGAGGTTGACCACCGTAAGGTGGCTGCTGTGGAACGACCGGTGGTGGTGGTCGTACACGGGGATCTGGATACGATGGTTGACGAGGTATCTCGATTTCCGGTTGTTGCGGTTGTTGTTGTTGTTGTTGTTGTTGTTGTTGTTTGTTTAGTTGTTTGTGGATTGGTTCGTAAATTGCTTTTGCATGGAAGATGTTCATCCTCTCAGCTGAGCAAACGCGAAGGGACAGCAACCAACATTCTAATATTCTGTTCCATCGCAGTTTGAAGGCACATTCACGAGATCATTCTCATGAATAACAAAGCCTGTATGTGAAGGTGATGAGGGCCTCAAGTGACAATCTTATGGCCCAATGAAACTCCCAGAAAAGCGGTAAAGTAGGTGGAAGGTTGCGCGCGCACGAGTGATTCCTGCTGAAATCAGTCTTTGTCAGTGCCTTCATCTCGCTGGTTCCTACGCTCTCCCTCTCTCTCCCTTCTCTTCCTAATCGCTCCCAATAGTTTTTTGCCTCTCGCTCAGAGCCAACTGCAGCAAGGATGAGCGCCTTACTGAAGGCGTTTTTCACGGGTTCATCCGCTTTTTCTCTTCGAGGGTACGTCAGCACATAGGCTTTCTCTTCCAGTTAACATCCCTGGAAACGTGCCTTCTGTCTACTGTATGTGCAGGTAGTGTAGCTGTAAGTGTTCCGTTTACCACTCTCGCGCTCCGGGAGCCAAATGTCGGATTTTTGTTTGTACGACACAAGAGGGCGGAATAAGCCGTTACTGTTTTGTATTAGTTTCTCTACCGATTTCTATTTTTCTTCAATTGTTCCCTCCCAGGCCACAGGAGCATGAGTGACGACGGGACCCATTATACTTATCCCCTATGCAGAATCCAAATGTCTCTTCAAAAGGCAGGGGGGGGGTTCGTGGGCTTCTTTGAGAGAGCAGCTACGGCAGGATGTTCCCAGCTTAGAGGAAGGCAGCTCAAGACAACCTTGACAGACCTATGATCTCTCCCAAACCGAACCGGTACCTATTTACCATCAGTGCTTTCACAGCCGAGTCAGACTCCTTCCAACAGTGGAGGTAAAAAGGTGGGAAATAGTGATGATACGAGGCACTTCCATACAGTGGGCCGTTACATAGCATAATACTGGTTATGAAACTTTATCTTGAATGATGAAAATAAAATACCTTCATGTCCTGGGTGATGTCCTTCATGAGCAGGAGCGGCCGTAGGATTAAGGAAACCACAGCGTTGCATACATTCTTCTTCAGTCCGGAAACGATTGAGGTTCCCTCCACAACCGCCATAGATGAACGTCTGGCAGGTTCCTGAACAAGCCAGTGTAAATCCAAATCTCTTGTTCCGGAGAGTTTCTCGACCCCGTTCTATGCGATATTGAGTTCTTCTACATGTTCCTCTGTTAGGCGACTAGCTTACAAAGCAGTACTGACTTGCAATAAATTTAAGCTCCTCAGCACAGTCTTTTGTGCCTTCTTTGTACCTCTCCCTTCCAAACCGTAAAGTGGAGGAACGCAGGAAAAGGACGGCAGAATGGAAGGCCCCACACATACCTTTGTAGGCGTCATAGTAGAACTGATCGGAGTAGTCCTGGCATGGACCAGAGTCTTGCGTAGACCGGCACACCTCTTCGATCGTTGCTGAAATGTTGGAACAATATAAAATGATCTTACACATAAGCAACTCTTTCGAGATACATTGCGATAAATGATTTGTAAGGCTAGCATGAACACAGCGCTACATCGCAACCGATCACCGCCTTTTAGGTAGCATAGCTTGAGGCACAAGAGGAAACACGGCTACTGCCGCGAGTCTTCGCTACTTTACAGTAAGAAAACCTGCGTCCTGCCATGTGAGTCTTGCATGCTCGAAGGTGGCCTCCTTTCTTACAAATTTAGGAGGTCTTACTGCGACAACGTGGCGCTATTGGGTTTGGGAGAGGGGTCATTTGCACTTTTGCTAATTCAAGTTATCCACCAGGCTTTAGGCAAGACCTGCAAACTCCTGCGAAACTGCAAATTGGCGAGATGAAATGTTTTCTTCGCCAGAATCAACAAGATTCTAAAATGTGGCCTGTAGAAGCCTAGCTAAACCTGATTTGGTGCCCCAACCAGGTCAACCCAAACTTCGTTCTAGAACGTTCTAGAGTTGTGAAAAACGTACGCATAGGTGGTCGTGGTCGCTCATCGTATCGTTGTCCGTTGGTTGTCGTCGGGAATGGGATGGGCGACAACCTGAAGTGATTGGTGATCTTTTTTCGCTCACGTTCAAGGTAGGTTTTTCTGGGCATAAAATGAGTATTCCGAATAGCCTTACCTCATGGTCAGCCTCGGTGGATTCACCGTGTGGCATCTGTGGCGGTTGAGGAGGTGGAGGAGCTGCCGTCGTTGGCACTGCGAATGGTCCAACGTCCTTACAGAAAGTCTGAAATGTACTTCAATCAATTTTTTCCTGAACTCCACGGCGACAGCGGTATCGAAAAATCCCATGAGCCGTGCTATCGACTTGTCGACTTATGGATAGAAGTGATGCGAGCGACAACCCGTATTAATGGATTTACAGTAGACTTAAATTTCCGACAAACACACGTCAAAAATTGAGGGCAAACTCCACGTTGGTCATATGGGCGGAGTTCTGCCAGCACTAGGGTCCTCATCACTGTGACGCTTTTTTTCTTTTCTGTCCTACTCATTAGCAACCCAGTGAAGATGAAGAAACAATAGAAGTCTCAAATAGTGCACTCCCGGTGAGCGGAAGATGAGATTTCGAGGGGGCCTTATTCTCACTCTTAACTCTTCATCTTTCTTGCTAATCTCCAACAGTATGAACAAAACTCCATCTATTTTTGCGAGTGGTTTCCAGTTACTATCAAGAAGGAGGTCAGATAGACGAGAAAGAAAGCCTTGAGAAGCCTTCAGCAGAAAAATATTCATCAAACTACACAGAAAACATGGATAGCTCCAGAGAAGAAAACAACACTGCACTTCTTTCCCATGAGGACAAGTTTATTTGCATTTGCGATGAATCTCGCCCCAGAACGCAAGCGCATGTTTCGTGTTGTTAGTGTACCAGTACTTCCCATGAGTTGGTCAACATCTTAGGGTCTTCAACTTCGGCAAGCTAGCACCTTCCTGCAATTGAACACTGATAACTAATGTGTATTCACAAGAATGCTGAGTTGTGGGCAAAGTCGTGCCCCAGGCGGGAGTCGAACCCGCACCTCACGCTTTCCGGGCGAGTGCGCTATCCGTTACGCCACCAGGGCCGCTTTTACCCTCTCAGCTTGAACGGCTTTTAGCTTTTATGTCCGAACGCGTACGCGGCGTTAAACGAAGCAGGTATTATACAGAACTGATAACTATCTTTTTATTTTCCGAAGCGCTCCACTGTCAAGCACGTTTTAGAAAATCGGGAAAATTTTCTACATTCAAATTAGAAATGCAAAGCCACAAAATAACGTGTGAGCGCACAGGCGCGGGAGCGGGGCGCGCAGTTAAGGGCACATCTTGATTGGTATGCGTTGCGAGGCGCCCATTCGCCTTGGTGATCTCTCTTCTTCAGAAACGCTGGGGAAAAGGCCGCGCGCCGTGACCATGGTAGTTCTTGCTCTGCTTCTTGACACATACCGAAGTGACCCTTCAAGAGTTGCCAGAAAAGGCTGTAGCTTTACTATACGCGACTGTGCGTAGAGCTGTGGTATAGTCAATTTCAAAATCGTGCGAGAATGGCTAGAAATTTATGCTCACGATTCGGGCGGTTCTACACAGATCGTCTCACACTGCTCTTTAGTGGCAAAGCGATTGTCGTTACCGTCACATCCTCCATACCAAAACTGTGAGCAACGTCCTTCTGCCGTATATACGCTACACACTGGAGAAAAGTTTCTATCACGTTATTTACAATTAGCCAATAAAGAGCAGAGTCCACACTCAAAGAAGCAGACCAAGCCTTCATGCGCTTCCGCTGTGTGCCTGCCTTTGTGCGTGCCTCTTTCCTCTGCCTTTTGAGGCAGTTTAGGCGCGATAAATCCCGCAAGAACAAGTTAGGATTAATACGCCTGGCAGGACGGAATTTCCGCGACCCTGAGCAGGCACTGCATAATGCCTTTTCCAAGGATATTGCTCTTATAAGGGCCCTATCAGCCACTATGTTCCGACCCAAACGCCGCCACGCCTGTCCGCCCACAAATGGACGACCGTTCCTGACGCTGTTGTAATCGATTCATTTGCTAAGCAAGTTATGAAGCATGGACCGGTATGCAAAGCCGCCAAGTCGGTGCTGCATTGGGATACGATGAGTACTCATATGCAGTGTTACCTGCGTGGGCGGTTCAGAAATGATGCCTACGGCGGAACTGTCCAAATTGATTTTGAACATACTGAGAACGGAGGCTCTTTTTCGCCGGATTTTGACCGTTTCACTCCGTTCTTTCGCCATTTCCCCCACTATATAGCGCCCTACTAGCATTTTAGGCGAAGCACCAACCATAGCTGCCAACTGCTTCAAGAGGGCTGGCGTTACCAAAGAGGAAGGCATAATGTGTTGCAGTTATTCTGTCATCGACAATATGTGGCTGTGCTTTAGGATAATGAGGGGAAAAGAAATGTGTTAATTTTTGAAAGCTTCAAAAATCCCCTGAGTAGAAGAGAACAGTAGTAAATCAATTGTTCTTGTTGATCCGACGAGCACGGTTCCTTGATCCTGGGCAAGGCACATGACGAAATTTTTCGACTAGGGAGTGCACACAGCGAAGAAGAGGTGCCAGATGTGGTGATTTGGCAATTGACGGAGTAGTCGGGACCGATCTGCCTGCTTCTTTCGACCGTCGGTGGGTGGTGCGGACGCACCCGTAGCTGTAAGTGGGATATGGTATGGTGATATTTACTGAACTCATCACATCGTGTTAGAAATGAAATTGATAATTTTTTTTGATTTTTTATCTAGGAAAAGATAATTTTTTGATACTTTATCTTGGAAAACGAACATACTCTCTCACGATGCCTTAACTGAAAACTCAGTTGTCAGAATTTTTAACATTGCGCCTGGCTTCGCTTAGGACTGTTCTATTAGGGTACCCGCCACTATAGTTTCTACATTAACAGCCAATTGCCAAGCGTGGTAATGAAGAAAGAATGAGGCGAAAAATATGAACTACTTTTAGGGCAATTACAGTTTACAGTCACAACACGTTTTCTTGGTCCAGAGCAGGTGTTTTCTCTCCGTTCGGGACAGCATTCCGATAACGAGTATATTGGCCGACGACTTTCTATTATGAGTATCCTCGAGCAGCGTGTCCTTACCATCAGCAAAATCCCAATTGGCCTAAATGTTTTCTAATAGGCCTTGTTAAAGATTCGCTCGTGCTAAAGATATGATGTTCTTCTGTGCAAGGCTATCCCCATAGATCCAGCTCCTTTGGCAGAAGTCTTTCCATCTGGACAACATCCATATTGCGCATATACGCATCCACATCCTTCATTATGATGTCCTTTTGCCGTGCTTTTACCATCAGGACAGCAGCATACCTGTACGGAGCGCGGACTGCCATAGCTTTTCAAATGTTTTTGATTTTTTCTTATCACTTCGTCGTCAAGGCAATTCTCTCCGCATCCGGTACCAGTTTGCTCAAGTGCTGGCCGTTTCACCGGGTCTGCGCAGATCAAGATTTCAGACAGCTTCCGTATAATGCGACCTGATAAGGGATCTATAATTGGGCATTTGATTTCTACGAGGTCTGTTGTCTGGAAGGAAAAGAGGTGTAAAATGATCATTGCTTTAGAAGGCTTCAGTATCACGATTCCCAGAAAGATTTTGTTCCATTATTAAGCTGAAAGAAGGGGGCACACTGTTTTGCAGCTCCTGATGTGCAGCGGGCCAAAGTGGGAAGTTGCGGGTAGTATAGTGTAAGTGTGCGATCGAAAAGGGAATTATATGGGTTGTCAAGAAGATCCTTTTCATCTTGTCCCTGCTTTGGACCTCTATACCCACGTGCCGCTTCCAACAAGTTCTTCCAGCCCTCTACCAAAGTTGAAAATAGCTGCTCTTAAAGCTTTCTTCCAGCCCTCTACCAAAAGTTGAAAATAGCTGCTCTTAAAACTCTCTCAAAGTCAGGCACTCCCTATATCCCTCCCACCCCCCCCCCCCCTGGTCCGCTCTTCCGATGATCAAGCACGACCTCCAATGCTGCTGTATCGATTGACTCCACCTGTAGCTTCAACGCTTCGAAATGGTAGACGTTACCTTACTACAGACTATCTAGATAAACTGACAGACCTTTCACATCCAGCGTAGTGTGGTCCAAATGCGATGGTCTTGCGATCCTTACAACATCCGTACAGAGATCCAGCGCACGTTGGCTCACCACATCCTTCAAGATTTGGTCCACGCGCCAAGGTGACATCATCGTGACAGCAACCGTATTCCGTTTCGTTACACGATCCTAAAAAGATCTTATTGCTTGCTACGCACCAAAAACTGAAACATTCACTCTATTTGTATTCCACTACAGTTGATATTCTCACGGTAGCCGCCGTTGGCAAATTTTTTGATGGGAGACTGACCAGTTCTCTCCGAGAACATCTGCTTTTCATCGTAAAGGTATGAACACAGCCTTTATATAAAGGTGGAAAGGATTTACCAAGCGTGAATGTTGGACATCCGGCGTTATTTTTTCCTTCGGCAGGTGTGACCCAATCCGGACAACAACCGAATTCAGACTTCGAGCAGTCATTGTGTGCATTTTTCGTGCGATTAAACGTTACCTTCAACTTAGAATTCTTTTGCGTATTAGGTGAATACGTGATTTATTCATATGAAGGACGGGCAAAAAAAATTAAAATTTTACCTTTGGAGGGTCGAGAACTAAGGTATGGGACAGTGAATATTTGAATTTTAAGTTATTCACAAACTTACCGAAAAGGCCGTCAAGGTCAGTTGTCGTGGCATTTGCCACAGAGCAGTCCACCGTTGCCATATCGCCGTTCTCACTCTTAACCTGACATTCGCCGTTTTTCTGAAAAAAAAGAAATCCATTTCGCACAGTTTAATGGCAATACCCCATGTTTGACAGTGTCCTTTACTCAATATTCCCTTAGCTCGTTTAGCCCATCTACAACAAACCATTTTTCTTCCTCTTACAAGTATTTAGTACTCACTCCTGTTATATCCTTCTTTCATTTTTCCTGTACAATTCCTTCTCATCTTTATTGCATGAATTTTGCATGTCAACTTTTTTTACATTTTTTTCGTTTTATCCTATTCCTTAACTCCTTCCCCTATGTAGTCCATGTGCGGAGGTGGTGTACTAGCAAGTGGCACTATCCAGGCACACGATTCGGGGATCAACCCCCGGGTTTCCACTTAGGCCAACCGAGCCTTCTGCCTTCCTGGGACGGTAAATTGGTCCCCTCCTGACACGGTATTGGCAAGTGAGAGGATAAGAGCCCTAACTCGTACATCAGCTGGCCTCCACAAGTATTGAATACGCTACATTCAAAAAGCCACTACGATTCTGAATGAAAGTAGAGGGCGTGACGCACACCAAGTACGGATTGATCGACACCGAAGACTTTATCCTCTTATCCATCATGAGTAAATGTGGTGTAACAAGGGCATAGCTTTCAGAACACATGATCAGAGAGTCAAACCAAGGATCGGTCCCTTCTAGTTCAGCTAAGCCTTCCATCCTTCCGGGATGGTGTGATTGGCACAAGACCAGCCTAATACTACAAACCCTACATCGTCTATCCTTAGCGAGTCAGATGGAATTGAAATCACTATGACTGTTGATGAACGTGGAATGTGTGTGGCAACCCACACATGGACTGATCAACGTCAAAAGCTTCATCCTTTCACGTTTGTTATATTTGCATAATTATGGGTGCGGTTTCTGATTAGCTGGGAACGCGGAACCTTAGAGCTATGGATCGGAACGTCAATTACCCAAAGGATCCTCACACTTCTTCAAAATAACCATGGACAATACCTTGGCGTTCAGCAACTCGTTTAGGATTGTTGGTGCCTAATCCCTATTAAAACCATATCCAACAGGCCAAAAATCACGTAATCTATCTATTTCGCCTGACAAGCTTGTCTCGGTCCCTTCAACCGGAATTGTAAATTCCTGGAGCAATCCCATCCCATGAAGGAGCTGTGATGGGCTGCTTGTGTCCGTTGCATTCGACCTCGTGAACTTGATAAGAGATATATTTCGCATAGCTTACCTCTTCACCGGATCCTTCGCTGGCTTCTTCAAGGTTCAAGGGCGATTCAACAAATTCTTCGCATCCCTTTCCGCCCTTGCCCGTAGCTTCCGTATAGTTATCGGCACAGCAACCAAATTCGCTGAATACTGCAGTTTGAACATCCCTGAATGAGATGAAATTGAGAAGTCTGGATGGAAAGTGTCGGCTGTTGGCCCGCGAGTCAACGAAAGTACTTGTGTAAAACGTATTTTGACCGAACCTGATTGAAATCTCCAGTGGCAAAGGTGGTGTTGTCAGGACAGCATCCAAACTCGGAGTCGAAGCAAGCTGAATTACTTCTCATTTTGTCTTCTCGTACTTTTCTATAGTATGGCTATAACTACACGTCACTGGTGTTTTTATTCATTCTGTTGGGACAATTGTATCGTCCTGAATTGCTGATTTCCAAGGAAAAAGTGATTTGTGACTGTCGACGTCCCATAATGGAGTAAACGCCTACTGCACGTACCGCATTAAAGCTGGTGTTCGCTCTTCTGTGTACTCCCTCGCCCTTCGTCGTCTCTAGTTCGTGCGCTTAGTGCCTCTTCAGCAACTGCTTATAAAAGCCTCATAGTCACTTGGAAAAAAGCCTCAGGAGTACCCAGGATTTTTCTTGGGCAGAAGATGAATTAGTGTCAATCGGAGTGTGGCTGCATGAATGGCCCTGAAGGCGGACAGGAAGGCTTTGCTTGATTCTCCACGTCCTGAACCGGCCCCACTATTAGAAAAACCAGTACTATCTTGCCGATTTCGATCATGTTCTCATGACTA